ATATTCTTCTTTCATACGTGTTTTGGTTTAAATTTGTAGCTCTACATGAATTTTTGTGTGGTGTGATAGTTGTACATAAAGGGCACATCACACCTGTGATGTGTGTACTGGAACTTTTGCTTCTGTGTTTCCTGATTCTTGAGGTTTCCCATGCAGAAGGATAACTCTGAAGAGTCCAAGTCCAGTTATCAGGACTGTCAGTCACAAAGTTTCCTTCCAGTAACTTTCCTTTTACTACTTTTTCTTCTTTTACACATGATAATAACAGGCAATGACCGTGCATGGGATGTTGTTTGTGGGTTATTGATAAATAACCCAACTATGCTAATTTTGGGGTCTGTGGTATCAATGATTAGAGAGTTACGTGAGGTTACACTGCCTTAGCATTAGAAATATGTTTTAAATACACAAGGGTGGTACTGTGCTTACTGTAAAACCACTGATGGTTGGTTGCAAAATAAAAGCCCTCCTGTAAGGTAAATAACAGAGGGAATATTTAACAGCCAGATGTAAGCAAGAAAAAGCACATTCAGCTGTGTTTTGAAGAAAGCTGGGGTTGAGGAAGGAAGAAGGCAGGAGAGACTTTCTGAGTCAGGAAGGTACATTCAGCTCACAGGGGCTTTCTGAAAGGTGAAAAGTTCCTGAAGCAGCAAGGAAATGCAGAGGAGGGCAGATTTCAGAAAGGCAGGCTCGAGGAACGCTCTGGAGAAGATGTCAAAGGAGACCAGCTGTCAAAATCATTGTTCTCAAATGTGATAGGCAGGTGCCATCCTGATGCATGTCAAAGACTGAGGGAGTCTAAATGAGCAGGGAGTTAACAACAAAAAAACCCAAAACAACAGGAACCTTTATTATGTTAACATAACTAACTATGGGGAATTGTAGTATTTTAAACATTCTGCTGTCCAAGAAGACTTTAACCATAACTTTGAAGTTCATACCTATTAGCTGAAGCTTTTTGGTCTGAAAACTCAGCTATAATCATCACAAAAAAGCTCTTTCTCCAGATCTCTTGCATTTCTTAGATCCAGCTGGCTGAAAAACACCATGAGACCAAAGTTTCTTAAAGCATTTTTATGTATCCCCACTTTATGAACCTTTCTTGACAAAAATGGACTAAATTCTATGTAGAAACAGAGTTTGTGTCCTTCTGTACTTAAAAGTAAACAAATGACTCTAGACTACTCCTTAAGTTTGAGTGTAAAATGGTGTATGTCATGGCATTGCTTCTTCTCAGCTGATTTACCTACTTCTACTACAAGTGCTTTCCTAAAACCAGTAAGCCCTTCCATGCAAATATTTCCTTCCAGAGCTGTGACATACCCCAATATATATTGTCGTTTCAAAATAAACAGTTATTGAAAACAACTTTTTACATTGCTGCAAATATAAACCAAGAATTCAAAATTACTTTTCAGATAATAGTTTTTCTCTAGAAAATATAATATTCTGGAACAAATATGTTTAATAAATGGGGATACTCCTGGACAAACAGGTTTGATAGATGACCAGCTAAGTCTTATAGGCCAAAACTGTATTACATATGTCCCAATAAACATAGTGCAAGGATGTGATGTGGTCAAGCTATGACTGAATATTGCATCCATGACAGTCTGTAAGTCATAAGCTTCAAAGTTTTCTCTATATAAGTAAGTTTTTTTCCCTGTATTTTTAAAAATCCTATTTCTAAGAAGAATAGGGAGATTTGTAACATGCTTGTAAACACTGAGAGCCCCCAGGGAAGTTTTTTATTTTTTTTTTTTTTTCATGGAAATCATAATTTCCCTAATCATTCAGTAGCTGTGGAAATTTGAAAGATTTATTCAGCTCCTATTAACAAATTATTGTGGCTTAAAACCAAGCCAACTGCTACCACTTTCCAACATGCTTCTCAGGCCTTTTGGCAGCTCTAAATATTTTTGAAATAAACTTCAATTTTTCAAACAACAGGAATATGAGAACCAAGAGTGCTTTGCAGGGCAAGAGTGATGGAGGGGTTGCAGCTTCATAACCAAGAGGGACTCTGAAATCTGGCATCATCTTTCAAAGCCACACTTATCAGCACCTTTGAGCTTGTTATTGCAAATATGACTAGAAGCATAGCACACCCCCAGACCAACAAGAAACAGGTCAGATTTGCTTATTTATACTGAAACAGAGCAACCCACTAAATCTGGCTATTTGCACAGCACTGTCATCTTTGGGCAAACCACGGCTCAGTCAACACAGCAGCTCCCTAACTCTGCTTTGAAGCTGGCAGATTTGATGCCAAGCCTGTGGAGAGCAAAACACAGCTCCACAGTTTCTTTTCCCTCTATGAGGTTTTAGCCATAGAGCTATAGATAGAAGATGTGGGCATCACCTGCTGCAAATGACAATCTGAAGCTCAGGAAGTTGCCTGAGGCCATTTTGGGAGCCACTGGTACAGTGTTACACTTTTCTTTTTCTACCTAACCATGATGATGTAAGCATGAGACATTTAGAGCCTGGATTCATCTGACCAATTTTAGACTTCCAAGTGCTTTTGAGGTGTGATTTTTCCTGAGAGAGAGCTCAGACAAGCTATATCCAGCAGCTATTTTACTTCATCAACTCTAATAGGAGTCAAGGGTGCTTAGCTGAGCAGAGACACCTGTGTTGTCTATGGTTTCAGTTGGGAATCCAGCAGTTATCTCAAGTCCTGTAATTTCTCTCTAGCCACGTGTCTCAAAAAAAAAAAAAAAAGGCACCAAAGGGAAATGATATTAATAAATACCAAAGCAAGGCAATGCATTTGTAAAGCACCATGGAATCAGTGTGAACAGACTGGAGCTCACATCTTTAGGCCTCATAAGTTACAAGACACCCAGATTCTTCAGATGTTTCTGTTCTCTTGAAGGAGAAGCCATGTCCGTGATTACACCAAAAGAAGGCTTTCAACATCCAGCCCTCTTACGCTCATTAAAATTCACCCAGCTACCACACATTCCAAAGCACAGGAAGACACATTTACTAAGATTTATTTACACAAATCTGACCCAAATTGATGCTGCTCATCCAAGATCAAATTCCATTCCAGCGTGAGCAACCAAAGTGAGTTAAACTTGCAACATGAAGTGCTGCCAGGGTCCTACTTTGAGAACTCAAGTATCATTTCAGAATCATGCTGCTTTTCTGCAGCGAGCACAAGTCTGCTCGTTGAGATTTATTCTCTCATTTCACAGGGAAGGTCTGCATGGCATTCCCTGCTCTGCCTCCTAAGAAGGATGTTTCACAGATATGCTGCAGTCAAAACTGGGTGAGCACCTTCTCAAGTTCTGTGGAACAATTCTCAACAGCTACTTGTTAAGCAGGGCCAGATGGTTGAAGGCATTCAAGCACTGCAAAGTCTTAACAAGTAAGGAGCTAATACCACACTACTTAGAGAGCCATCTCTTCTTCACAGCACCCTCCCCCAAAGAAACAAAGCCTTAAGTTCCTAAATAACCTTCCACTTGGAGTACTACACAGGGAATCCCAACATAGCACTGAACGTTCTAGCCACTGAAATAACTCATTGAAGGTGCATCACTGCAGCTTCCACACCAAACCAGAGCTTCTTGCCTTTTCTGCATTCCCTGAGGAAATTGCTGCATCTTAGAGGGTGTGTGGAAGAGACAGATAAGACATACCACTGAGAGACTTAGCTGTACCTTACTCTGCTGTGTAGGTATAGCCTCAGGATCATAAAGGTAGACTCAAACTCCTTCAACAGCCTCAAAATACTAAACAGAAGGGGTATTTACAGCCTTTAAAAAAAAACAGTCTTCATTGTCTGATGGTAAGAGTGCTTACCATCTGCTTAAGTAAATTGACCATTTGTCCCTGTTAGAGACAGCTGGGCTATTACAGCAATTAAGGTGGCACAGGGAGGGAGTGACATTTTTGTTTTGGGAAGAGGGTGTTTGCAGCCCTGACAGCTTGAAACATTCATGGTTATGAGGAGCTGACATTCTTAAGCACGTAAGGAAAAAAGGACGAGCCCTTTCAGAAGTTCAAGTTAAAGAAATGTGTTTCCTACAAGATATCCTTCATTTCTGTTGAAGAGGTTTGCACCAAATGAAAGAATTGTATCTCTGACAGTGCAAAGCATTCATAGTCACTGGCCAGACTTTTACAACATACACATTTGCCTTTTGATATGGGACATCTGTGAGCTAGCAACAGTAATAAATCTGAATGTTAGCACAGATAATTTTCCAAGTTTTAGGTCAAATGCTATCAAATTTAGCTTATCAGCTCATTGAGATAAAACAAGCCTTTTTGTCATTAGCTTTCTGATTAGTTGCTTAGTTCCAGAACCTGGGACATAGTAAATAGGTTCCTTTTTTTTTCCTATAGCATGGTGTGAATGCTTAATGCCCACTGGTTATCCTTACAAATTATACACAGGGAAATGACTGCTTGATCCCTTGCTAGAAGAGGGGAATGTGATGGTTTCAGAATGTTTAAAACAGACATTCCTCAAATAGTTAACTGATCTGGAATTTTTTCACAGTGTAAGGCCTGAGCTTAGTGGTTAGGTTCCTTGATCTGCAACCATACTAGTTTTGATCTTGTGAGACTTCAAGCTGGGCAGTGACAGACTGTTGAGCTGGACACTTTGAGAGGTGTAGTGTTTGCCTTTCACAGGCAGCAGCCTTGCCTAGGAGCAAACAGGAAAAATGGAATACAGCCTTGCAGAGCTCTCTGCCACAGGAAAGTGTCCTCTTGTTGGGTGCAGAGTGCAGTGTCCACAGGCACAGCCCTTTGCAGGTCTAACACACGGGAAAGAAAAAGCTGTGCCGTACAGAGAGACGTAAAAGTGTCTCTGTCGTAGAAGGGACTTGCGTGTGTTCCAGAATGGCTGGAAGAGCTCCACTAAATGAAATTTAGTCCAACTGTGCGTCACATTTCAGCTCTTGTGCTGGGAGAGCTGTAAGGAAGATTAAAAAAAAATAAAATGTCCTTTTAATACATTTCACAATATGTTCTTATTTTAGAGTCTACATATCGTCACCAAGCTACCATTGATGATGAAGTGGTTTCCATGGAGATACTAGATACAGCTGGTCAGGTACGTGGCTGCATGTACTGTTATCCAGTACCTTGGCTTGGATAGACAGCAGGGAAGGGGAGTGTGGTGGTGGTGGCAGTGTGGTGGGTGGCAGGTGTGCTCTGCTTCTGGGGACAGAGATTTGCTTCTAGGCAGAGCTCTCCCCTCCATCACCACCATCAGCTTGCTGCTGGACTCAGCATTCTGCATCCAGATCTTCTGCAAGGGACTCTGCTTGGAGTTTTCAAATCCCGGAAGAATAAACAAGTCGAGGTTTACTGTGGTATTAAAATTATTCTCATGTTTTAATTCAGGGCCAACCAGACATGTCATTAGTAAAAAATAAAGTCACAGTCTATTTCTACAGCCAAGTGATAAAGCTTTACAGCCTCAACCCGTGATTTGCACTAAAGTGAAGAGCAGTTTTGTCATAGTCAGGTCTGCCTTCCTTTCAAAATATGGCACGTGCTCATGCTGGATAGGGCTATGCAGCTTGTGTGCTGGATATCATTCAGCAGAGACCCCCTTCCAAACACCTGCTACCAGCCTGTCCGCAGGCAGCTGGGCAGATCTCCTATGCTGTGTGATAAAATAGGTGATGTGTGTAAAGTATAAAGTAAAGCAGCTGTACGTGGCTTTGTAGGCTTTGGAGGACCAGCATCTCCCTGAAGGTCTGGTGTCTGTTCTGTAAATCAAATTCCTAAGGCTAGTGTCTGTCTTTGGGAACAGGAGGATCCTATCCAGAAAGAAGGACACGTGCGATGGGGTGAAGGCTTTGTGCTGGTTTACGACATCACAGACCGAGGCAGCTTTGAGGAAATGCTGCCGCTAAAGAACTTGTTGGATGAAGTTAAAAAGCCCAAAAACGTCACCCTGATCCTGGTGGGGAACAAAGCAGACTTGGATCACTCCAGGCAAGTCAGCACAGAGGAAGGTGAAAAGCTGGCCACGGAACTAGCATGTGCTTTTTATGAGTGCTCTGCTTGCACGGGAGAGGGCAACATTATGGAGGCCTTCTACGAGCTCTGTCGTGAGGTTCGGCGGCGAAAGATGGTCCAGGGCAAGACTCGGAGGCGAAGCTCCACCACCCATGTCAAGCAGGCAATTAATAAGATGCTTACCAAAATCAGCAGCTAAAAAGAGCTGTACTAAACCAGATAAGATTTTAGAGCATATTAGCTTGGAGGCAGGGATGAGGCAGGCAGAGCACATTTAATTAAAAATGGTCAAAGCTTTGCAATGGACAAAAAAAAAATAAAAATATGAACATCACCGTATTTTTGAATAACACAGAGTCGTACTATTTTCCTGTTTTGAAATGTATTTAGCCACACTGCTTCTGGCTAATGTGGAAAAAAAACCAAAAACACCAAGGGAAAAAACCACCAAATGTACTCCAAAGGACTAGATGATTGCAGGAATTGGCACCAACAGAGAATCTTCTGCTTCTACGTGGCTAGTCCAACGTCCTGCAAATCAGTAGTGCCTAAACATCATTTCCAACCAACCAGCTGCTCAGTAAGATTCAGCCTTCACTCCATCAACTACCATCACAGCTAACATTCTCCAGGACTGAATACGTGTAGAGGCTGCTCTGTTATATCAGAAAGTTTACCTGACACCTTCAACCAGCTCTAAGTTGGCTCATTGTGTGCTTTTACTCCAAACTGTACTTCCTTGTTATTTTTGTCAAATCTATGAGTGCTGATGTTCTTAGCAAGGTATGCAAAAAATATAGGAAAGGTCTATTTTATGGAGTGTTTGGCCAGCAAGACATACATTTCAACAGAGCTGAAGTTCAGCTGCTCTTCCAGATCCTACGAAACTGCAGAATTCATGAAGAAATAACCAGCTAGTCCAGTGGCATTTCAGCTTTTTTCCCCTCAAAGTGCAGGACTGTACTTGGGGAAATGGGACTAAATGTGTTATGAAGTCAAATTAAAAAAAAAAAATATTACTATTGATTTAGTTATGGGTAGTTTTTAGCTTTTGTTTACACTTCTTGTTTTGATCTTTTTTCAATTCAAGTAGTTCCTCTTAGTCTATCTTATACTGAAGAAGAACAGAATCCTTGGGAAGGCAAGTATTTAAAGTCTAACACCCAAATGCAGATCAGATGTGACTGGCCTCTACCATATCAAAAGATCACAGTTTCCAGCTGTTTAAACTTCCAGATGTTGCTTGGAGCACTCTGGGGTTTAAACCAGCACAGTTTTTTTGCTGCTTTTATCTGGCACATCGAAGTGAAAGTGTATTTTATCAGATTTTGGTGCCAGGGATAAAAAGTGTTCATTTTTTTCTTCTCCCTCATGCATCTGATTTAAGCCAGCTGTCAAATTTTGCCTCCTGTCTAGTTGGTTTGTTAACTGTATGCTAAAAGATGTAAGAACCAAGACTGGAAGATTTAAATTCAGATTGTCCTGGTTTCCCACCAGTTGTGTTGCATCCCTTTAGGCAGCGTGGTGTGCAGTTCAGACTGTTATCATGAAGAACCACAGCCAAAGGTTGGGATGATAAATGGGAATATTAGCAGTACTCTCCTTTGAGGGAACCCCCCCCTTTTAGCAACTACTTACAACTTTATTCTCCACTGCTTTGTACTTCCTATGGTTATTTGCCTCTGTGATGAAGTAACTCCAAAAGGCTATCACATACAAATTGCCACAGATTTAGGAGAATATCTAGTTGGATAATGTTTCAGACAGTTATAGGTAGCCATAGAGGTGATGGAACAGGCTGAAGAGTCAGATTTGTTAATCCCTGTCGACAGAGAAAAGTTCCAAGTTAGGACTTCTTTCAAAAGAATGTACTTCAAGGTATTTTACCAAAGTAATTATTTTTAAACTCTCTCTTTTACCCAACCAGCATCAAAGAACATCACATTCATATATATATTTTTTTTGTGTTGTTTTTTGTCTCCTCTGTTTCTGTATTCTAGACAGTGAAAACTCATTTCACTCTTCTGGAATCAATGTCTATATTTTGGTCCTCATGTTCAAGTATATTTCCATACACCATCTGGACACACTGCAGTGGAAACACTACCTTGTGCTTCTGGGCAGGGGGTTCTTGCAACAGGTTGTTACGACCCGCCCCAGGAAAAGAGGGGGGGGGGGCGTAACTCAGGTTTTATCAAAAATTCCTTTGGGGTGGATTAAAGCGAAGCGACACTAAATAATCGGTGTATGAAAATATATAAGATTTATTTCAACAGTTTTGTATCAACAGATAGGTTAACATTTTTGGGTGCTGTCATAATCAATAGGTAAACTAACACCTTTGGGTGCTGTCATAAGCTTTCTGGGGAGGAGAAAAATGCATAGGGGAGAGAAAGGCAGGATAAGAGCCAGGGAGAGTAAGGGAAAGAAAAGCTGAGAGTAGACAGATGTCCATAGTCACCGCCCACGGGGTCCAGCGATGCTTGATGGTCTTGATTTGCAGGCGGTGGGGGAGAAGGAGAAACTCCCGAATTCCCAAAGTCACCAGTAAGTTTATATGCTCTGGCGCCTCCCTGGCATGAGGGGTTGCCTCCCTTTTTTGGACTTAGTCCTCCAGAGGCACATTGTCTTTTCAGTTGTTGTTCGCCCAGCAGAGGTGTCAATAGGCAAGAGCCTGCAAGGTTGACTCTTCATGGGCTATCAGAGGTAACTAATCGCCCAGCAGGTGTGTCAAAAACCCAAGGTCAGTTGTTGTTTTCAGGACAGCGTAACTAATCGCCCAGCAGAGGTGTCAATAGGCAAGAGCCTGCAAGGTTGACTCTTCATGGGCTATCAGAGGTACAGTGTAACAGTCAAGGGCCCGCAAGCTCGGCTTTTTTCAGTTGTTGTCAAAAGCCCAAGGTCAGTTGTTGTTTTCAGGACAGTAGGTGTGTCAAAAGCCTGAGAATGCATAAATCATCAACTATCTCAGTCTCTGACACAGGTGATATCATTTTCTCTGAGACACATCTGTTACCAAACTATTCAACACATCTCTAACTTTTGTTAAAAAGAAAAAAAAAGTAGAGGTTTTGCCATTTTTTCAGTCCCATTAGTACTGTAGAATCAACACAAGTGTAAAAGAAAGAGCTAATGCCTGCTCACAAACCAGGAGTCTTTAGCTGAGGGTCTGAACTTGCAAGCAATGTAGTTACACTAAAAGCCAGAATTAGCATTTGCAACTTGAAGCACAAAGTCGTTCTGTTATCTTTGAAATCAGTGCTGTTGCACAAATCTGAAGTAAACAAAGTCCTTACCTGCAATCCCATGGCAACATAGCTAAGAGGAAAGTCTTGTTATGCTAAGCAATTGATTCATCCCTCTCTTGTAAAACTTCAACAATTCTTTTATCTGAAAACCCTTCTTGGGGTTCAGAGTTGAGCTGCATAAAGTACAAAAAGGTTATACATGAATGGCAAGAGAAAATAAATTATTCATATTCGTATTAGAAGAGGAAGGAGAGGCCCTCATACTTTCCAAAAGACTCTCAATAAATTGTATCTTCCTTTATAATATCTGTGTGGAGAAATTATAAGATCCCGGTGAAAGAAAATGTTCCACTGTGCAAATATCATTTGTTACATAAAGCACCTATAATAAAAATAGTAACATTCCTTTGCAAAGACTGAATTTGGAAACTGCCAACCAAGATAAACACTTGGTCAAAAAGGAGGCTGCTATTTTGTGACCTTTCCTCCTACACAAACACAGTTTTCTTTATTTAATTGCTCATTAATTTTTTTCTTTTGGTGTCATGGGGTGATTGTCAAGCCAGTTCTACTATAGTGTATCTGTTGATACACATCACATAGTATTAAATGCAACCTGATTTTCTGTTGCTCACAATGCTGCAACATATTATTGGCAATGCTATAAATGTATAATATATCTACAGTGTGCAAATTGAGCCCAAAATTGCCCAAGCATTGAAAAGGCCAAATGCAGCATGAACCCACATTTGGTAGCCTTTCTGAAGCAGACACCAATGCTTTAAATTCTGTTTCTGCAGCTGCTGTTTAAGCATATGGATATGACACTAACATCAAGTTTCTCTCCTCTGCCCACTACCATTTCAGTGGAGAGAGGATGGGAAGGATGATAAAAAAAAAGGGGGAGGAAAGGTGAAATGGATACTTGTTACCTACAACAAGTTGGTCGTCATTTATGAAGTTTTTAAATATTTATCTTCAATTGATGAAGAGTTAGTCATGCCCACGCTGCAAGACCTGGATCAGGACCCAAGACTTCCCTAGAACTTTGAGAATCTTCATATCTGGGGGTTTGGTGCAACTACAGGTGGAAGTGAGGATCAGCCACTGGGTTTGCACCTGGATCCGGACAAGGTGTCCCCAGCCTGGGGATAGTTGGATCTGGCAGTTTGCTACAAGTCTAGTTGAATTTTATATATATAATGATCTGTATGCATTTTTACATTAAAAATATGAAAGCTTGTGCCTGTAGATAATATATAAGAAAAAAATAAAAAATAAAAATAAAAAAATAGAGGTCTGTACTGAACTCATACATATTGATCTTCTATTGGATGTCTCCAAAGGGTTGCCTTCCAGCTTTTAAGCAGCCATTTCCAAAAGTCCTGATTTCTTTTTTATGTAGTCTTTATCTAGGGAAAACAAACAGTGAATTTTGCCTGAGTAAGCACTGCAACATTTGGATCATTTTATTTGAACTTTTTTGGCTGCTAGGCTTGGAATAGAGAGGTCAAACAGAATCTACAGTGAGGCACAGATCCAAATGTCCTTGCTAACTATTTCAAGGCTGATCAAAGAAGCTACAGTGCCACGGTTATTAAATGATCTCACTGAAATGCACCACCCAAACATTGTCCTGTGAGCTGAATAATGTGGATCTTGTTCCCAAGCTTTTGAGGTAAAATCTTGGGGTAAGCGTACTGGGAGATTTATACCAGTGATTTGGACAGAGACAACTTTTCATCTGCTTCACATATTCCAAGGATAACACACTGTTATTCTGAAGAGTACGTGTAAGGTACATTATATGAATGGTAAAAAATCATACATAGCATGAGAGTAATCTACTCTCTTGTTTTCCTCCAAACCTGGCCCAACCAAGTAACTCAAAGCATGATCATAAACAGGTGAACAGCAGTGGGAGTATAAGAATGCCCTCTGCTTCAACAGAGCACTGCATGAAGTCTCAGTGCTGGATTGATGCTCTGATGCCTAACTTTACCTTTGTGAAACCTCACAAAACTAGATGAGGCATCCTTCCAGTTACTGTCTGCCTCTAGAGCACTGCAAAGTAGCCTTGAGTTCTGTCAAACCACACTATAACCTTCTCCAGTCAAAATAATGTCTCCTGCAAAATAAGTAGCTGCAGTGATAAAGGCTCTGTATAAACAGTGTTTGGGATTTCTTTTATCTTTCTCTGTAATGCCTCAGTACATTTGCATATCTTCAGAAGAAAATGAAAAATATAGAGGCTTTAATTAGAAAAGGCTTCTTGGCATTTTGATGTATCTGCCTTTATGTTCTTTGAAAAATGAAACATAGTGAAAACAGCATCATCTTAGAAACTCTGGTGTTATGCATTTTATTTCTGTTAAAGATGCCAGACACTAATTAGCTCAGGGCTGTGAAAATACAAAGCAGTGACTTGTAGTCCAGTGCTCTGCAAGGTTACTGGGAGGTGATAATGATGGCCTGTGTGAGACCAGCTCGGTCTGGTTCCTGTAAACACAGTCCCACAGGGGGAAGCTGTTAATGCAGCTGGCAGCAGAAAAAGACACTTTTGAGTACCTGGGGCAGGACTCCCCTGAATCCAGGGGGGTTATGCATGGAATGGATCAAGCCCGTGGTCCACTGCCTTGGTAGCCCACGTGTAGAGAAAATACTCCAATGGCCCATGTCTCTCGTCCACTTGAAGGATTCCTCTCCATTTTTAGTTTGAAATGGACTGGTAGGAAACTGTGAGGTAAGTTGGCACTCCTGGCTGTCTAATAAATCAGAGAATTTGATGGCAGTTTGGCCTTCTGACTGGTCTCTTTCATCTCCAGCTTGATTCCCCAAAGCAGCATTTGTCTTTTCCTGCCGCTCTTGTATTATAATAAGTTTTTTTGAGTTTTGTTTGGTTGCTGGTTTGGGTTTGTTGGTTTGTTTTTTTTTTTTAGTTGTAGTTGTCAATAGACTCTGATATCCAGGGATGTTTTATGGACAAAGAGGGTGTATCCTCTCACAAGAATGAACTATTTGCAAATGCCACTGGATATAAATTCTCAACAATGAACACAGTATCTCTGAAGAGTTGGAAACCTTTCTTTTTTTAATAAAGGAACCTCTCATAATTATAGTACAGACAGTTGTGTCAAGTACCACGGTCCTAAACTAGACTGAAATATTCTGCATCACTAGGAGGAGCTACATCCTACCCTGAAATATTAACATGCAGAATAGTGACAAAAAAATTGCAAACAGACCTCAAATTATGCCTCACAGACCAAACCTACACATTTTTTCCTTTTTAATTTTACGTACGTGGTATTAGGAATTTACAGAGCCTTTCAAAATCCAGCAAGTTCCAGTGACTGAGAATATATCAGTAATGTAAAAATTAATGTTTTTTATCAAACTACTTTGTCAGTACACATGACATTAACTCCATCTTGCTTCCTCTAGCCTGGTCAAAGCTGTCATTGCTGTAAGGAATATCAAAGAGACACAGAAGGAACTTCTGACAGGAAAAAATTCAAATAAAAGAAACAGTAAATAATGCAAAAAAAAGGGACATAACCTAAATAAAGGTTGAATTCCTATTTTCCTGAAAAGCAACTGCAACATTCCGTACACCAACGCTAGTACATAGGTGATCTGACCAAAATTAGTAATCAGAAACAGTTGAATATTTTGAGTTTTGACTTCAATTTCTTTTTGGAAATCTAACTGAAAAGGAATAAAATTATTATTCTGAAACAGACATTAGGTCTGGAATTTGTAATTAATGCCAGGTTTCAAAGAATCCAGAAAATTCATTTGAAGCTTCTAGCTAGCAGAGGTGAGGAGAGGAAAAGAAAGAAAAAGAAAAAGAGAAAAAGAAAAGAAAATAGGAGGAAAAAGAAGTAA